CCAGGCGGGGCCGTTGTAGCGGGCAAGGCCCGAGGTAGGGGGCGAGGGCCAAGATAGGGGGCGTGGCCCAGTATGTGCAGTATGTGGTTATGCATGGTATGTGGTAGGGTGGGAAACTCACTAAGCTTCGTGCTTACGGTTTTTAGTTTTGGTTTCAGGTACTTCCGGTAGCGGAGCAAAGAGCTCGGGGTGATCGCATGGCACACACCATAGATTAGACAGCCTGGGGATGTTCACTCTGATAACGAACATATGCTTTGAAAACTTATACTCATATTATGTTTTGGAATGATGATGTTACTTTAAGTAATGATTTATTAAAGAAATTTTTGGTCTTAAATTTGGGTCGTTACAGTACGGCCGTGAACATGGGTGTACGGCCGGACAGCGGTGTACGGCCGTGAACTCCTTTTTGAAGGGTGTACGACCTTTGAAGATTTGGAGGGTGTACGGTCGTACACTCAAGAACAAGGGTGTTTGATTTCGAAGAAAATGTGTTCCAGATGCTCCAAAATAACCCCCAATGGTGATTCTTGATGTTTTTCGGAAGGTTTTAGAGTGTTTGAGGGGTGTACGGTCAGAAGTTCTAGAGAGAGAATGAGAGAGTTTTCGGTCAAGAGTATTCAAATGAGGGTGCGGGTCCTGTATTTATAGGCTGGGGGTATGGTCGGTGGTGGGGTCCACCTGACACCAACCGTACACTCACTTAGGCCGAAAACTGATTTGTTTTTCAAGGACTTCGGGTTTTCACGTGATTTGGTTCCGACTCGCTTATATAAATTTAATTATATAAAACTAGATGATTTTGTAAACAAGAGTTTGACAAAAAACCAATAAAATCAAAATTTTATTAACGGAATTTGAATAATGGAAATGGAAAAAGATTCGGGTTGTCACACCCAACATATTCTCTAATAAATGAAGGGTTTTTTTTGTCACTTGTCACACTCTCATTCATTTTGCCACATATCATTTTGTAGTTATTTAGAATTAATTTTTATTTCATATGTAATTTTGTGGTTTTCCTATTTTTTAATTTTCATATGGTATTTAAATTTAATAATAAATACATATTAATTTCATTAATTGACTTTCCTTATAATTTCAAAATTTTAAAATAACATCTCATTAATTTGCTTTGATTATTTTATCTAAATGATTTGTTTAAATTTAAAAGAAAAAAAAAACACTTTAATTTTAGTAATTCAATATTTTTCTTATAAATTCAAAATTTTCAAATGTTTATATATATATAATTGTTTTAAATACACCCATGTAATACATGAACTCACACCTAGTACTCAAATATTCATTCATCTTCTTTTTAAATACAAGTCCATCTTCTTCAAGTTTCCATTTATCAACAAGCCCACAATTTGCATCAACTTCACAAATTGCCAAGCCCATAATGCATTGTCCTCTAAATCTATTTGCTTCCCACAAATCCCGAATATCGTCGTTCCGTATTAATCTTCTAAAAATATGCAATTATGCACAAAGACTAGAAAGTATTCGATATAAACATAAAATAACAAAATAGAAAATATCCATGATAATTAACTAAATTTGAAATGATGTATGATAAAATAAACTATAAAAAAATGAAGTAACAAAGTATAAGTATATTAATAAGTACATATATTTATTTGTTAATGTAAGTAGTATATACTGTCAAAGAAAATTTGCTTTAAAAAGGAAGACTACTATACCTCATGAGTAACCCATAAGACATTGGCTACCTTTCCTCATCTTGTCATCGAAATATGAAGATCATTTTCAGGTAATACATTTTGGACTTCACAAAAATGCATCAATTTATTAATTTTGGGGGCAACATCATGAAGCATAACAAATAAATAGACATATTCGATCCCTGGTAAAAAAAAAAAAAAAAGCACCTAGTGTTCATTGTAGGATGATCATACAAAAATGAACATTTCAGAAAATGATCATAGGTTCTACAGAGAGGGTTCTGCGGAACCATAAATACCTCTGCGGAATGTGAACACCTCTGCGGATATTGGTTTTTTTTATTTATTTATTCATTTTTTTTTTCGTTTATTAATATTTTTTTTAATCACATAAGGTATTATGTGATTATTATGTAAAAAAAATTATTTTCGTTTTTTATTTTTCTTATTTAATTACACGTTTATGAAAGTTAGGTGTTTAATAAAAATTATACAAATATATTATATTTTTTGATAAAATTACACACACCGGTATTCTGAATAATAAATATACTTTAAGTAGGTTACAAAACATAGTTTAAAAAACATAAACATACAACCTTCATAATAAACATACTTTGAAATAAACTTCATTGAAGGCTCTGCGGATTCTCTACAACTCTGCGGAATCTTTGTTTTTTGATTTTTAATTTTTTTTTTCGTTTTTTTTGCGTTCATTTTCGTTTATTAATATAAATTTTTTTAAATACACTAATACCTTATGTGATTATTATGTAAAAAATTCTACAAAAAAAAAATGTTAAAAATTATGAAATGTTTTTTGTAATACGTTTGCCTCTGAGGAACCGAAACACCTCCGCGGATCTTGAGTTTTTTTATTTTTATTTTTTTGTTTTTTCGTTTTTTTCTATTTTTTGTTTTCACTTATTAATATTAAGTTTTTTTAATACACTAATACCTTATGTTTTATGTAAAAAATTTGACAAAAAGAGGTTAAAAATAATGAACTTATGTTTAATATCAGTCCACATAACTGTTTGGGAATCCACATAACTGTTATCAGCGGGTCAGTGTACACCTCTGCGGGTCAGTGTACACCTCTGTGGATCAGTGTATACATCTGAGGATCAGTGTACACCTCTGCGGATCAGTATACACCTCTGCGGATCAGTGTACACCTATGCAGATCAGTATACTCCTTTACGGATTTGTGTACACCTTTGCGGATCAGTGTACACCTCTGCGGATCAGTGTACACCTCTACGGATTAGTTATAGAAGTTATACACGTATTTTAATGAGTTTTTGTGAGTTTGTGAGTTTCAATTACCAGTAGAAATTGTTTTTTCATTGTGTTTGTGAAGAGTGATTTGTAATTACAAAACAGTAAAAATACATGGCAAACATACATCATTAGCAAACGTATTATATAAAACATTTCATTATTTTTAACTTTTTTTTTTTGTCAAATTTTTTACATAATAATTACATAAGGTATTAGTGTATTTAAAAAAAATATTAATAAATGAAAATGAACACAAAAAAAGCAAACAAACGAAAAAAAATAAAAAATAAAATCAAAAAACAAAGATTTCACAGAGCTGTATAGGATCCGCAGAGACTTTAATGAAATTTATTTCAAAGTATGTTTATTATGATGGTTGTATGATTATGTTTTCTAAAGTATCTTTTGTAACCTACTTAAAATATGTTTATTATTTAGAATACCAATGTATATAATTTTATAAAAAAAACATAGAATATTTGTATAATTTTTATTAAACACACAACTTTATAAACATGTAATTAAATAAGAAAAACGAAAAACGAAAAAAAAAATTTACATAATAATCACATAATACCTTATGTGATTAAAAAAATCTACCCTAATAAATAAAAATGAGTTTGCCACATATCATTCTCTCATAAAATTAACCACATATCATTTTGTCATAATTTGAGATATATATTTATTTTCCACTTGTCATTACTTTAATTTTCATTTTCAATATATCATTAATTTAGTTTCCATAAATTAAACCTACCATAATCACTATTAATTTTATATTTTAAATTTTAAATTTTAAATTCAATTTCAAATAAATTTAGAGTTTAAACCTTTATGTTTAACATTTTGTTATAATTAACTCGTTTAGTACACATTAAACACATAATTTTAATTTATTTATTTTTTGCATGTTTTTTTTTTTTTTTTGATAATTTTTACTTATTTCAATTTCAAATTCAAATAAAATTTCTATTTAATCGTTCGTATTTAATATTTTGTTTTAATCAACCCGTATAATATACGGGTCTCACAAGTAGTATATTAATAAACGAAAAAAAAACAGAAAACAAAAAAAAAGAAGAAAAAAATCAAGATCCACAGAGGTGTTTATGGTTCCGCAGAACCCCTATACGAAACCTGTGATCATTTTCTGAAATCTTCATTTTTGTAATTATTTTTTTCAAACTCACCCTATATTTTGGTTCGTTTTCTAAATTTATCCAATTAACTTTACACAAACAAAAGTAGACTTATCGTCATGAATGGATGTCATTTTCTGGTAAACCCGATGGTAATTGTCTATATTTTTGTGAGACATATCGTTGTGATCTCAATGGATGTTTACTCTCTTTTTCTCTTTATATATAATATTTGAACGGTGACACGATATATTAAAAATAAAACAAAATTAACAAGACACTATAATAAAGAATTACAAGAAACAGATTAAAAGATAAGTACAACATCATGTGGTATATAAAATACCTAATACCTTAAAAAGTTCTTTTCAACCAGACCCTAAAATCATAGCTAAGAAACAAAAATTTTGGTCGTCAATCCATTACCCCAATATGATATTCAAACCCAGAAACGGTAGATTTTTTGTCCAAGTATGTTAAAAATGGTGACATAATTACACGAATAGGTCTACTTTCAAGAATCGGGTTGTTAGTATCTTAACATAATTATGAATTAATTAAATCGTAATCATAATTTAATCTATAAAATCTATAAAATAATAATAAATCACTACCGAAACCAACGTGGTGTGTTTGTCCATTTGCGATTTAGCTTCTTCTGCCTGTCTGAACCCTAACTATGCCGGCCATGGCTGCCCTCGATCACTATTATTTATATATTCATGCATATATATCAGTATTATATGTAAAACACACTCTATTTTGGCCTGCAGACCCTTTAAACCTCACTGCAAACCCTTTCATTTGCTCTCTCTCTCTCTCTCTCTCTCTCTCTCTCTCTCTCTCTCTCTCTAGAATTCTTAAACGTACGTACAGAAGCGAAATGAGAGCTGGATTTGACGTGGTTCAAGGTGCTCTTGAGTTGATCCAGCCCCATGAACAATGGGACTACAACAACACTCTTGGTGCTTATGTCACCTCAACTGCGACAACTTCAAGCTCATTGAATGGTTTTAGCGACTACAGTTCAAAGGCGCCTGCAAACATAGAGAGACCCAAACGAGCTCTCTGAATGGGTTGAACATGTTACCAAGACGCTCGTTGAAGACTTGCCTCAAGAGTCCAACCTTGAAGATCACAGCTTCCACACGGATGCCACTTTGCCAGCTGCTTACGGTGACGTGTGTGAAACAAGACCTCGGAAGATAGCCAGGGGGAACTGGGTCGGATGATGTTAGGTCTGGTGAGCAGGGTAATAAAGGGTTGAATTTGATTGCGCTTTTGTTTGAGTGTGCGGTTGCTATTTCGGTTGATAATTTGGGTGAGGCTCATAGGATGGTTCTTGAGTTAACCCAAATGGCTTCTCCTTATTCACCTTCTTGTGGTGAGAGAGTTGTTGCTTATTTTGCAAAAGCCATGGCAAGTAGGGTTGTTAACTCGTGGCTAGGGGTTTGCTCACCATTGACTAATCACAAGCTCATTCATGGTGCTTTTCAAGTCTTCAACAACATCTCTCCTTTCGTCAAGTTTGCTCATTTCACCTCTAACCAAGCCATTCTCGAGGCTTTTCAACGTCGAGAAAGGGTCCACATAGTGGACCTTGACATCATGCAGGGTTTGCAGTGGCCAGCACTGTTTCACATATTGGCCACACGAATGGAAGGGCCACCGCATGTGAGGATGACTGGCATGGGTACTTCCATGGAACTTCTTGTGGAAACAGGGAAACAACTCTTGAATTTCGCAAAACGTCTGGGAATGTCTTTCGAGTTCCATCCTGTGGTCAAGAAATTCGGAGATGTAGCTGATCTCTCCATGTTACAAATCCGAAGAGGTGATGCACTAGCTGTACATTGGCTTCAACATTCGCTTTATGACGCTACAGGGACTGACTGGAAAACCATGAGACTCCTTCAAGAACTCAACCCTCGAATCATCACCCTTGTCGAACAAGACATATCCCACGAAGGTTCATTCTTGGATCGTTTTGTTGGTTCCCTTCATTACTATTCTGCCATATTCGACGCTCTTGGAGCGTTCCTCCCAAGCGACGACAACAGTCGCCACCGTGTTGAGCACTCGTTGATCCATAGAGAGATCAACAACGTTCTTGCGGTGGGCGGACCAGGGAGGAGCGGTGAGGATAAATTCAGAGTGTGGAGAAGCGAACTTGGGAGAAATGGGTTTTTGCAGGTACCAATGAGTGGGAACTCACTGGCACAAGGTCAATTGATTCTTAACATGTTTCCACCCACACATGGATATACGTTGGGTCAAGTGGATGGGACGCTTCGGTTAGGGTGGAAAGAGACTGCTTTGTACACTGCTTCTGCCTGGACTTGTCATGTCTCAAGATAACAAGTCTAATCATGTTGAATATTAAATGTTTGATCTGTTACCTAGTTCTTTTATTAAATATTAAATTAATATTTGCAAGGGATCAAAAATTAGGAAGAAGTTGTGAAATTTACAAATTGAAATTTGAACAAAAAATGAATATATAGCTTTTTAAGAGTAAAAACCAGAGTCTTTTTTTTTTTTTTTTCCTTTGATGTGATTTTAATTAAGGATGAGGATTTGGTGGTTTTGCAGGTAGTTTATTCAGTTAGGATTGTTTGGGTGTGAGGTGTTTTGTTAAAAGTTATATGAGATAACTTTTAAATTCACAACATTTTGTTTACACTGAACCACAAAAGTCTATAGTATCAATTAAGATTTTTTCTTTAAAATTGACCATTTTATAAAATGCTAAAAGCTAAAAATTCTCAAACACTTCGTATCAAATACGTTCAAAACGTTTATAAACTGAACGACATAAGAACTTGTGACTTGACGTTTATAAACTGAACCACATCAAGTCACAAGTTCTTATTGTTTGGTTTTTAATGATTGAAATGAAGAATATTCAAGTTTGAGACTTGATTTTTCCATATAAAACAATGATTCGTCCATATAAAATAAAATAGCTTTGTATTTATCGTACAAGTTAGTAAAGTATATTGTTTATATAGATGAATTAAGTGGAAAAATCATATCTCCTTAAGTTTTGGAGGAACAAAGCACCAAATAAAAGAGGAGGCTAGGGTAAAAACATAATAGCTAATTATATCTAAGTAATTTATAATATATATCCAGAAAAATGATAATACTTATTCTAGTTTTAGACAACACTACAAATAAAACAATATTTAATAACATAGAAATAGTTTCATAGAAAACCCAAAAAAACTATCACTAAAAACCCATTGACAATCAACGACAAAAAATGTCACTAAAAGAGCTAAGGAGATACGAAGATGGTTCATAATTTTCGTGAAAATGTCACTAAAAGAGCTAAGGAGATACGGAGATGGTTCATAATTTTTGTGAAAATATGGAAACATTTTTCTTATATTTACAAGCGACACAACATTAACCATTGTTGATCTTCTCTGCTTATAACCCCCCATGATTAGAACTTGTGACTTGATGATTATTTACTATAATTGTAGTGTGTGTGTGTGTGTGTGTGTGTGTGTGTGTGTGTGTGTGTATATATATATATATATATATATATTATACGTTTATATATCTTTGAAGCATCGTTCTAGCATGTTCAAGTCAATACCTCTCGTGAACTTTGGTTGTCTCTTGAATGTGTCTATGCTCCTCCCACATCCTCACGTGAATACACACTCAAAACACAACTCTTAAAAATCTCGATGAAAGGTGATGAATCTTCTTATGCATATTTGACCCATGCTCAAGAATATTTCGATGGTTTAGCCAACATTGGTGAACCTATCAAAGAAAAGAATCTTGTTATGCTTGTTATTTTGGACCTACGAGGTGAATACAATGGATTAAAATCCATTCTTCTTGCCCGACAGTTTCCTATAATATTCTTTGATCACCTTGGACCTTTGGCTGATCATTACTTCATGATCAAGAAAACACCTACCGGTGTACCACCAACTCAAGATTTTTTGGCTGTCTTTTCCTCTTGCATATCTACTCCAACCCCCGCTGATAATCTTCACGTCATCCAACAACTTTCCCAACTATTGGGGTACCAGCTGCAACCGCTAACAACTCAACCGACAGCTTAAGCACATTTTACACTGCGATCGAGTAACAACCGGGAAGGAGAGTAGGCACTTGAACTCAATTTAGTTGGGCATCCATCCAAAACACTGTCTATGACACTTGTAACAGGTGCGGTATCGGTCACGTCCCATCTTAATGCCGGAATCGTGATCCAGCAACCATACACACCAGATCACAGCCCTCTATGAATTTCATAGATTTTCGATCACAAACATTCGACTCTTGGCTACCAGACACCGGTTCTACTCATCATGTTGCATTGGATCTTTCGAGTTTTGACCAGTATGATGCGTATCATAGTGATGACAACATTCACGTCGGCAACATTAAAGGATTAATGTAACATTCAGGCCGTGTAAGTTTCCTTTTAACCCTTGCTTAAAAGAATATTTTCATATTTGGTCCTATGGCTAGTACGTGGGGCGTACTCTATGAGTACGCTTAGCGTACTAGCTAGATTATGATCGCGGGCATCGACCACGTACGTTGGGCGTACGGTGGCTTGCGACAAACCCTAATTTATAGGCTTTGTGCCCTATTTAATCTTCTTAAACCCATCCCCTATCCATTTTAGACCAGCCTCCATGTCTTTAAAACCTTAATCTTGCCCTTAGCCTATGTTTTGGTGTTCTTGATCTCATGTGAAGCATTTTGTCACACCCTCGAAACGGGGCGGCAGAAACGTCTAGAAGCAGATGACGTCATTGTGTAATATCATAGCAGTTGAATATAAATGATACATAGCAACCAAACATCATACATTGCAATATACAAGCATTCATTATTTACAAATTATACTTGTTCTTCGATTATACAAAAATAGCAATAAGTATAATGTCTTAAAAAGATAGCAAAATATCCATATCCAAGGCTCGAGTACCTATTCACCGAGTCCCTGAGAATACAAGTCGTTTTGAAAAGCATTAACATAGAATGTTAGTGAGTTCATAAGCATATTTGTTAGAAAACTTTGTAACATCTTTGTTTATAATAAGTTGTAAAACTCCAGAAAATCCAATATTTTCTATAAAAGTAGTTTGTGAGTCTCGTTCCAAAATCGTGTGTAATTGCATTCATGCTCTTCATTTTCCTTTGTTTGTATTTGAAAAGAGTGTGTTCCCAGAAAATCCTGTATTTTCTGTATATAAAAGAGTTGTGATCTTAAAACCCTAAGTCCAGAGTGGTGAAATTAGTTTACAAAATAGACGAAAAATAGTTGTGTATTTTATAAAACTACTAGAGTGTATATCCTTCGTAAACTCAAATAATGTTGTTATTCTCTATGTGAGTCATTACAACCATGCTAATATGACTAACGCGCCTGTCTTCACGTTCTTCAGGCGTCAGTTTCTAAAAGATACTTGTCACCCTAGACCAGTCCGTCTAGCTGTAGAGAACAGCTCATGTGTGGGGGTGTCAACCTTGTATAGATCTATACACAATTACATCGCTCTCCTTTCAGGAGACTCTGGTTATAATCACACGGCTTACGGTGTACGCTAGGTAGGTACGGTGAAGGTGTGTTTCACAAGAGCCTCAACAAAAATTCATGCGAATTTATTGAATAATGCATACAACGTTCTTGGGGTAAATTTATGATTGCGGTTTTATGACACGCGTTTTACAGCTTTATGACATACAACTTAATACATGTATTATTAAAAGCTTTATGATGGTCAGACTATGACACACGAATATTCCTATGGTAAACTCTGCTTTGCTTACTGTTATATTAAATTAATTATAACGATATTTATAAATATTTACTAATAGCTTGTTAACCTACAATATGTGTTGTAAAAGTAACAAAATACTCTAGGTTTTTAACTTTTGAAATAGTACAACTTTTTACGATTATTTTACTAATAAAAACCATGTTTTGGTAAGATATGCAAGTGTTATGATGACTTTTTAACACACCAAAAGTTCGTTTCAGTGTTTTGTACCACCAAATTCACTCTATTTTTGTTATTACTAGAACTTGTCACATTTTACTCAAAATTACATAAAACCTTGAAATTTATTATGTTTCCACAATTTTACAAGTATTAGTGGTAAAGTTTACATAACCAAAAATTTACCATTTATTTACCATTTTTGAGTGTAAACTCTCATATTTACCATTTTTCAAACTTTGATAACCATAATTGCTTTAACATTTCTTTGACATTATGTGTGATTTTTAACACACATTTCAAAGAACCATTTTCACTTAGCAACTTGTCTCATTTTCAACATGATACCAAAATATGTGAAACTTACACCAATATAACTTGGTTCCAACAACTTGAGACTTTGTGAAATCTCGAGTTTAAGGAGTATTAGCATGAAATATTAACATTTCAACACATACACACATATACTATAACATCCCAAAAATTATGGACCAAAAAATTCATTTTTAATTAAGTGGTTTGCAAAAACGTTAGTAATAAAATATGATTCAACCATATCATTTAATAAAACATGTCCCACGTTTTGTAAACGTAAATCATAATAATATCAGAGTACAAATCCCAGAATGTCTCATAGTACGGAAAAACAAGAGCTTGTGTGTGTGATATGCCGCTACCGCGCTAGCTCCTTCCCCGTGGCTGAAGAGGTACCTGAAACAACCACTAAAAACCGTAAGCATGAAGCTTAGTGAGTTCCCCCAACGTACCGCATATTAAATAACCATAAAACATACAATTATTGTCAGGAATATCTGGGTGCCCGACCTACCCCTTCGGTCCTTTCGACCGGATACTGACAAGCATATCTGGGTGCTGGTCTCCCCTTCTGTCATTTCGACCGCATACTGACTAGCATATCTGGGTGCTGGTCTCCCCTTCGGTCCTTTCGACCAGATACTGACTAGCATATCTGGGTGCTGGTCTCCCCTTCGGTCCTTTCGACCGAATACTGACTAGCATATCTGGGTGCTGGTCTCCCCTTCGGTCTTTTCGACCAGATACTGACTAGCACGTCTGGGTGTTGGTCTCCCCTTCGGTCCTTTCGACCGGATACTTGGGGACTATCTCCCCTACTATCGCTAGCACATAGCATCATATCGTACAAACACATAAACAATAACACAGGCAGTGGCAACCCTAGATGAATATCACAGAGACAATCATCTAATTATACAATTCCTAATAGTGGGTCGGCATTGTGGCCTTAGACCCACCACTACTGGAAGGTAACTCACCTCGAAGTAGCTGCTGAAAGTCTGCTTGCTGAGCGCCTGACTGCTGAACCGGAACTCCCCGGCTACAATTTCCATAAACACT